TGGTACAGCAAATCGCCAGGCGCCGAATGTGACATCATGAAGTGCATGGCGAGCGCGCGCAGACAACCATCCGAGGCAAGACGAAATGCTGGATGCTCGTTAAATACTTTGCGATTTAGATGAACACAAATGTCAGCCTTCATATCTTTCGGACAATAGTTTAGTACCTGCGAAGTGGCCAAGCCGCAACATGAACGGCAAAACGTCAAACAAAGTGCGAGAACGCAAATGGAAAACCCAAGGAGAGCAAATAAAATTATGGTATGAAGATGAAAGAAAAACACAGAAAGAACTGCTGAAGAAATTAATGAAAGCGTAAGTGGGTGCAGAGTTGAATGGAAGTGCTGGTAAAAGGTGTCATGAGCAGAGGCTCTTAGTTGCAATCGAGTATAAGTATGGAAAAATGAGTGGACTCGATAGATGGCGAACAGGTCTGGGGATAGTTGAGGGGGTTCACAAATCACAAAATGCGAAAGCTATTTGGGAAGCTTTCGATTGGAAATTCACTTACTAATATATGAAATGAAAGCTTGAGCTTTTTCGAAACTTTTAATACCACACTGTTTCTTAAGAAGCTTTTAAAGTTCCATAAAGAGAATATTAGGAGAGCTATTGAGCTTTTTTGAGCGTTTTTGAGTTTTTCAAATAAGAAATTTGAATTACGTACAAGGGCATTGCCAGCACTTTTGCAAGCTTTTTTGTAATAAAATGCACTACGTGGCTTTTTGATCACAACGTCACGGCTTGTTTCTGACTAGAGTGCAATTTGTGAGCCCCCTAATCGATGAGTCAGGAATAGAATTATTTATCAATTGTGAAAAAATAGCAGGTAACTTAAGTTATAGAAAGTAGCTTAATACACACGCACACTCACACATACGTACAGACATTTTTGAATCTCACTAGGAAATGGAGTTGACTGTGGGCGCTTAGAAAGCTTTATTTTTAGTAGTTTTTCGTTGATTTAAGCAAGGAAAGTTATTTGAGTGGCCTATCGAGCTGTGCGAGAGCATTCACTTGTAGTAAACTTGAACTCAAACTGTATCCTATGGAGAGGATCTTGAGTCTCTAGTAGTCCTTTCGAAAAGGATTACGCCCAGAAGAAGGAGAACAGCAGGAGCTTGACAAGTTTTGAATCAATATCTTAAAGACACTCTTTAAAACCGGTAGGAATCAGCTTTCTAAACTGTAGATGCTAAGCTTAAAGCTTTGTTTGGAAACCAAAATTCGAATACTAAACTTCATAAGCTTTCCTCGAGCTTTTGAATTAATGTAACTCACCCACAATCTTTTGGGGTCATGTAGTCCTCTAACAGGAATTCGGGATCAGCTTCCTAGTCTCAAAAAGCTGTGCTGAAAGCTTTTGTAGAGCTTTTCTATACAAACGCTGCTTTGTAAGCGCGCCTTCAACTCTATTTCCGACTGAGATAACTGGCAACTTAGTTTGCTGCTTCGCTATGTGAGAGTAAGTGTTCGTTTCTGGCGCGTTTATTGTACTTTAAAGTTTTTGTGTTCGGTGTTTCACTAATCAAATTCTATGTGTGTGTTAGATATGAGTCTTTAGTGTTTTGAGTTCACAAAAATGTAAGTCAAGCCGAAATTGTCTTCAGTCAAATGGCTTATCCGCTGTACATACAGTTGTGTATCTGGCGTCCTGTGTTGTTGGTATTTTGGTAACTGTGATCTCTACTATTTTAAGGCACAAACTACAGTCAACGAAAATGGTATAAAGACGCTTCTATCTGCTTTTTACCGAGCGCTAATTAATGCGCTACTTTCAATGATTTAAACCAAATGCGCAAGAAGCTTTGACAAAATCCAATTAATGATTTTTTCTACTTTTTTGCTTTTAACTTTTAGAATTTGTCATGATTTGGTTTAAATTCCATCTAAAGGCACGGATTTGACGGACGCTTTTCGTTTTGGCGCACGGATTTGTGGTTTTTATGAGGCGCTACACCGAGCATGACGAACGAGCGAGCTTACCTGTACGCAGACGGGGGTAGATAAAGAGAAAAATAAAAAGAGAAGAAAAAAATAAAATGCGAATTGAAAATGGTTGGAAGTACTTATTTTATTTTAATTGTAAAAAATTCAACTAAGAGCTAAGAGGATTAAGCGAAAAATGAGCAAACATTTACAAAGCATTCGATAAAGTATAAAAAATGTGAATGGGAAAAGCTTGTTAAAGAAAGCTCTAAGAGAAAGCCGCTTGTGGAAAGCAAATGCGCTGACTGCAGAGGTCTTTCAGGCGCGCGGCGGGAATATTTTTAAGCAAGTTATACAAATTGGAACTCTTTTTGCTGGAAATGAAATTGTGTTTTGATAAAAAGCAGCGCAAGCTAGGCGAAGGGCGATTTTAATATTTATTATTGTTATTAGCGACCAACAGCGCCTAAAATTATGCGCCATCATGTGTGCTGCCTATTTAGCGCGCACAGTGGGTATTTGTGTGTGGCAGTGAGCGTAAAGTTGGTTGCGGGTGCTCCGCTCAGCGTGTGTGTGTGTGTATGTATGTGTGTCTATAAACATACATAAGTTAGCTGTGGTTGCGTTTGCGGTGGTCAAGGCGCCAGCTATGGTCGCGTGGTGGTGCGTGACGCCTAAAGTGACGCTTTAGGTGTTGAACTTAGAACTTAAAGAGTTATAGAGTGGAAGAGTGAACCAGTTTTCATAAATTTTAATCATATTCTTATTACTTTCGGTTTGGTCTTTTTTCAATTACTTGTGTGCCTGTGTGTGTGTGTGCTGCATTTGAATTGATGTCGAGGAGCATACTTTTAGGCTGAAGTCATTCTAACTACATACGCAACTAACATACGATACTCAAAATTATTCGCATACAATTAACATACTTTACAAAAGCTTTCTTCTCTGCTTGCTTCGCATACATACATACGTACGAACGTACATACTCAGCATATTTAATCGGCATACTTATGCATATGAACAGTTACATTGTACTTATATGCCACGCCATATGAATGACTTTTTGTTTTTCTCCACAAGTGAATGACTGAGTGTGCGTGCATGCGTGTTTGCTTGCGTTACCTTTTCGGTGTCCAGTCCCTTTGTCATGGCCCAGGTGGAGACCACATAATCCATAACGCGTTCGCTTAACGCCTTCGGCACCTCGTGCAGCTTCATGAACTCGCGCACATTGTTCAACATGTCGTGGTATTTTGCCGTCGCTGAGGTCATCTGCTGGATGATGGTCGTCACGTGACCGAATATCGTCGCATACAGCAGCGCTATAGTGTTGCAACGCATAGGTGGAGTGAGATAGCGGTAAAGCGCAGATGAAAGAAAAAGAAGAAGAAAATTAAGTTTGTGTACTTTTTTTGTGTCGTTGTGCGTGCGCTAGCTCACTGGGTTAAGTGGAATATTTTATGGCGCTTGTAAAATTTTCATTTCAATTATATTTCATTTTATGTAGCATACTTTTCGGATACTTAACACTGAGCGGAATAACAAATGAGTGAAAAAAAACGAAATGAATTAACGAAAGAGTTTGAGAGTGAAAGGAATGCAGAGCAACATGGAAATGAGGCAAACCAAATGAGGAGGGGAGAGGAGGTGCAAAAGAAATAAATGCACGTTGTGCCAAGGAGTCAACTGGGTTAAGTAGGAGCAATAAATGTGAAATTAGTATGCGAATTACGAACGCAAGCTAGAACAGTAATAAATGCCCAAAATTGTTGTTGTGTCTTGGGTATGAAATTGGAGTTGGAGGAAATTAGATAGAAGAAAAGAATGTCTTTGTTATTGTTAAGAGGCAGAGCAGGGCTAGTAGAATTATTTTTATTAGTTTTATGCTTTTGCGTGAGCCACACCGGAAAGCAGTTAAGAGATTAACCGCTTTCGCGATAAAAACAATCAAAACTTGTATGTAGCTCAGACAAAAGCATTAAGTTTTATTACTTTTTATCACACCCGGCAGAGTAGTCACTATGTTCAAGTAGAATTTGCAAATTTTCCTAAAGCTTATTTCGTACACTACTGATGTCGAAGGTTATGTTTCAGCTGATATTTAGTGTTCATTGTTCGTTGAGATTGCTGACTTCAAATGAGTTGATAAACTATTTGGGATTTATGCTAAATACATATTTGGATTGGAATCACCAATGTACTCTCTTTTGGAGTGATGGAAAACCAATAGAGCTCTCAAGAAAGAAAGTTCAGAACTTTTTTCCCCGGTGTTCACCAAAAAGAGCATATTTCCCTGTATATTTTCTTATCAGTCATGACTTACACACGTCACATAGGAGCAGCGATGGGTAGAGAGAGCTCAGCATGCGACTATACAAAACGTATAGAAAGCTTAATAGAGCTTTGCCCGTGGGCAATGCGGTGCCCATCACCGCATAGGAGAGACCTTTAAAAGCGTTCTATAGACTTTGTGAGGTTGCGCGTTGTTTTTTTTTCGATATCAGTGCCGATCAGAGAGAGCTTTTACTTTGAGCACCTTTATAATAAATCTTTATAAAACTTCTACTGATGTATATGTTTTTGTTTGTGATCATCAGAGATAGCTTTTAACTGTAGCTTTATGATATGTATCTACATAATTCATTACTATTATATAAAATTGATTCTACGGAAATTGTTTGTCCAGGGTTGGCTCTCGAAGCATATAAAGCTCTTAAACCTTTCACATGTGGTTAAGGCTTCTCTTATGATTGTTCTATATAAAAAAAGTATGGTTAGAAAGAGCTTTTATTCTCTGCGTGCCCAAATAAAGCTGCAGAGCGCTTTGAAAAGCTGCACCTGCGGGATACGTTTTGATCGTGACTGATATAAAATGTATAGAAAGCTTAAGAAGCTCGGCGCATGCTGACTATTTTGTTGTTGCAACATTCTTTGTTCAACAAAGCAGCCTAAAAGCAGTCCTTTATTTTCTTAGATCAAGCTTTGACTGTGAAAGCTGAGTTTTTTCACACTTAGTTTAATTGCTGCCCTATTTTTTTACTGTTTTACATGCTATTGCTTAAAATGATATGAACAAGTTTCGCAAAGTTTTATGAGAAGCACACAGATATTCAAGACTTACACTTTTACCACCAAAACTAACACCAACGCAAAGGAAAGCGTAAACCACAGACTTTTGTTTTGTTATGTGCTTTTTAAAGCTTAGAAAAACTCACACATAACGACGAATTGTCCAACTATTTTTTTTTTTAATTGGTGACGCAGTGTTGTATTTCACAAATATTTGTTGTTCATATTTACAATAAAAATTCGAGTATTAAAATTTTTATGAAAGTAATGAAAATTTTGTACAGAGAGAAGAGAAATAGTTACAGTAAGAGAGTTGAAGAGTTTTACACAAATGTTTTGTTCATTTAGCATATTTTTTAGGTAAACTTTTTTTAAATCAATAAAAATGCATGAAATGGTGTCAGTTGTGGTGACTAGCTTTAATTCGAGTACATAGCCTACAGAGAGTTACGAACGAGTATGTGAACTGGCAACAATGCTTACTTTTTCAAGTATATGATTGAACAACAACAACAAATCTACGAAATGTGGGATTTTTGAAGGCGAATTTTATGGGTTTACTTGAGTTTGAATTGAATTTGGCTTATTTTATGGAAAATGTTTCAACGAAGGCACACTACACCAACTCAGCATTTATTAGTTCTAGCGGCGTGACGGCGCTGTGAAATGTGCGAGCCCGTTATGTTTCCAATTAAAAATTAACAGTCTTCTGAACTAGATTTTTTTTGGTAATATAAAGAAATTTTAATATTCTTTTCTTAATTTTATTTAATTTTTCAAAAATTAAATTAAGAAATGTTTCCAATTAAAAATTTAAATTTTTCTGAACTAAATTTTTTTTTGCTAATATAAAGAAATTTTAATATTCTTTTCTTAATTTTATTTAATTTCTCAAAAATTAAATTAAGAAATGTTTCCAATTAAAAATTTAAATTTTTCTAAACTAATTGTTTTTTTGAATAATTTTTTGGTAATATAGACATTTTAATATTATTTTCTTAATTTTATTTAATTTTTCTTAAATTTTAAATTGTTTTCAAGTTTCAGTTTTGGGTTCTGTGCTCAATTCAACAATATTTTCATATGCAGCTTTTTAATATTTTTCTTTTATTCTCTGCAGTTATTAAAATTTTTTAATTTTAGTTTTAAATTTTAATTTCATTTGTTTGCATTTTTTTGTAATTTTCTTTCTCTTGCCCGGGGCGCACACATTTGCCTAGCTACCGTTTTGCGTTTACGTCTCTTACGAAGCGTTGCGCAATTTCGTTTCGTTTAGCGAAATTGGACGCGGCAACGGAACGTGTCGGACACCGCACCTGCAATAATCATCATGCAGATGGTGAACACCTTCTCGTTGTCCGTCTCGGCGGCCACATTGCCAAAGCCCACCTGCAAATATACAGAAAGTGATTTTACTGAAAATTGCAACTGGAAATAATTTGCAAAATTAGATTAAAATGTTTTTTTTTTTTTATCTAGAATACAGTAGCATTTACAGTTAAAATGGTTTGTCACGCTCTGACGCATGGCGCAATGCCCGAGAACTCACCGATGTCATGCAGGTCATAGTGAAGTACAGCGCCGTCACATACATACTCTTGCGCGACGGACCATTTATCAGTTCCGGTCCGGTGTCGTTGCTCCAGATGTACGAGTACGGCGATTGGGTAACGTTCGCCAGCTTCCACAGCCAGCTGTACTGTATCTGTGTGAAGGTAGCAAAAAGAAAAAAATAAAATAAAAAAGTAAATGAAAGTAAACAAAGAGTTAAAAAGTGTAGAACGAATACGAATTTCAAAGGAAATGGCGCGTGAATGTGTGAGGGAAGAAAAGAGTACAGCAGTATAAGCACTAGCTTCGATGTAACACACTTACTCCATTATCGGCATCGCTGCGTCCGATCGAGTACCAGATGCAGGCCAGCCAATGCGCCACCAGCATATAGAAGCAGAGCAGCAGTATGAGCATGGCGGCGCCATATTCCAGATAGCGATCCAGTTTGCGCACCACACGCCCCAGTCGCAGCAGTCGCACCACTTTCAGCGCACTAAAAAGCGAACCGATCCCATCCTCGTCCCGATCGAAGGCATTGAAGACATCGTATGGCAGGCAGCTGAGCAGATCGATGATGAACCAGGACTTTAGATAGTTCATGCGGATCACTTTGGGATCGCTGACCACCTCGCCGCCGGGACCGACGAACGTTGTGTGGAAATTTAAAACTGCAATGAAAATATGAAGAGAAAGAGAGAGGGATGGAGAAGAGGAGGTCGGTTGGGGAGATGAAGAGCAGGGAAAATTGGCGTACGGTGGAGGAAAGTGGTGGAGCGAAGAGAAAGAGCAGAAAGAGAGCAGAAATATTTTTTTTTTTAATTTTGAGACTAATGAGGGTCGCTTCGATCAGATATAGGCACAAAATAACGAGTGCAATAAACTACGAGTGCAATAACTACAACGGTTACATTTAGAGAGAAAATTTTTTTATTGAGAGCTTCCTCATACTTATTTAAGACCCTAAAGATCTCATCACTTGCCTTATGAGGTCAGTTCATATTCTCTTCTCTTCTCTTTCTTATAACTAATTTAAAAAAAATGCTGATCAGGTTTCTTTTAAAAAAAAAGAAGAAAAACATCCAACGTACTTTTGCGTTTTTTCAAAGGCTTTATACTATTTTCCTAGAATATTCCTTTCTTTGACTAACTTCTGACATAGCATCTCGAACTCTTTCTTAGAAAAGTCATAACTTCACCGGTTTATTTCGACAAATTTAATCAGTTCTTAGATTAAGTCTTTCGCGAGAAAATTACGCCCGAAAGTATGTAAAATTAATTGAGTAAGCTTTGCAATTCCCATTCGGCTTATGAAATTATTTGTAGAAGTCTGAAGTTGTAAGGTACCACTAAGAAGTACAGTAAACGTATAAAGCTACTCTTCATAGCCTTTTCAAGCAGAAAAGCTCACATTTTTGAATAAATATTTTTAGTACAAGCATATCAAAACTTTGTTTTCGTACTTACCGATATCTATAAAGAATATAACATCTACTATGGAATCGACAACGAGTAGTGAAACGTCTTCTGAAGTTTTATTTTTAAAAGCTACATTGTAGGGCACCTGAAAGAAAAATTAAGGCGGCGCCTACAATTAAGAAATGTCTCCAAAAATATTGAATATATTTTTCGTGGACATAGCAAATGAAATAGGCACGCCGCACAGTGTAAGATTTGACCCATCTAGCTGCTTTTAATTCTGTAATTCGAAATCTATTGAAGATAGATTAATGAAATTTTGCACAAGGTACGTTATAAGATAGGCGAAGCTTTTTACAAAAAATTGGTAATTTATAGTTACTGTCATGCTACCCTATTATATAACTGCAATTTTTAAAAATGCAAAAACTGAAATATTTAACTAACTACAAAGGCTAAAATGCCCAAAATTGATATTTAGAATTTCCCTATAACAAGGAATTATAAACTGACAGAAATGGACTTAAAAATAAATATATTTTTTTTTAGTTATGGGCGTGGAAAATATCGATAAAAAAGTCAAGTTGGGTCAAAGAAATTCCGTTATAAGTTCAATATTTCTTACTCTATTTACAGAAATGGGATACCATTGGAAAGGTAATGAATTAGGCTTTCTCTGTTGAAAACGAATATATAAGAATTTGTCTCGGTCGAGATAAAATGCAAGCGAATTACTCGAGGAAAATGAAATTCCCAGTAGGTCAGAAAAAAGAAAATTTCATCAAAACCTGCACTTTCCTGCAGCTAAAATTATGTTGTTTAGAGTCTAAGAGGAGTGGCAAATAAACTGAGATACAAACTTTATCGAATAGTGGCGGATAACGAGTTTGCTGGTCTAATGAAATTAATAAATTGCTAAAAATAAATTTAAGTTAACATCGTTTTACTTTAACATGGAATACTCAGTCCTAGTTTAATAAAATCCCAAAAATGTATATTCATTAAAAAGAACATACCCAAGCAAATAAGACCAAAATGGTATTTTAGTAATTGTTGCATAAATCACATAACACCGACAAAATAAACATTGAGATTCGGTTTCAAATATAAAAGTTTAAATATTATTGTGCTCGGTAATTTTCCAAACCAAACCCCGTCCCGCCATACACTTTGATTAAAATTTTTTAGTTGTTATTGTTTCGTCTTTATCAGGCATTTCTGAAAACATTCTTGACGTTGTTTTCAAATTTGGCGACATAAAATAATGGAATTAATCTTTTCTAGAATACTGAAATGATACACTGTGCGCCGTTACACTGTATAAAAAGCAAGTACTGGCAGTAAATGATGGAGTGTTCTATAAAAACACTGCAGCATTGCTTCTAAAAAAGTATACCGATTTCCCTTTGATTTGCTACCAATTTTTAGGGACCACTCGAATGAGCCGGTAATCCATTTCGAGGTAGGGTTTTGTTGACTATACAAAGGACTATTTTATTTTTTCTCTAAAATACTTCATCGTTGGCTCATTCGCTATATGTTCAATGCTTTTCTTCTGCTTGCACAGACTTGCGCTCTTATAAGCAAATTGTAGCTGGGATTATGTGCCTAAATAAATACTTAAGTGTAAATTTGTGCGTGTGTGCGTGTGCGTTAAGCACTTGAAGCGCAAAGTATTAATTTAACCACGACAAACATTACTCATACGCACCGCTGTACCTTTGAAGCGCCCTAAAGATACAAACAAACACGCCCACAAGATATGAACGCTAGCGAGCGAGCAAGTGATATGAGCAAAGGCATTAAATAGAAATTACGCTGCAGTGCACACACATGGAAATATATTTTAGCAAAATATTTTTCGGCAACATTTTTTCGTACCCAAAACTCGCTTCGGTACTATCTCGCAGAGAATTGGTTTCCTTTAAGCTCTTCGTAAAAGTATTTCAAAATCATCAAAGTACAATCGCTTTAATCGAGCATTACAAATTAAAAAATCATTTGGGGTGGCAGTGTAACAAAAATTTTATTTGAAATTTACTGAGCGTGTCTTTGCAAATTGTGGCCTTTACCGACTTTATATATTCAAATCCCTCTCTCTTACACTTGTGCCTACATCATTGCGGCGATAATTTTCACTTGAGCGCACAAATCATATGATTTTAAGCGCTTAGCGGCGAATGTGTGGAAACCATTTACCCACAGCAAAGGTTCCCCAACAGCCGCCGGGGCGTATTTATTATGCCCAAAGAACATGAAACCTACATGTAAATGTTAGCCTAGCGCTGCCAGCACTTACACACACATACACAATTACATTCATACGATTTGAGTGCGCTTTGCTACTCATAAATTCCCACATAGACTCGTTTTGGCAAAATGCTCGAGTGCTTGTAATTGCACACACACACACACACACAGATAGCAACCACATTCAAAGCGAAAATTTAGAGCACTTTGAATATTAAATGTAATAAAAGCGGCAGTTTATTGTGTAGATGTATAATTGGCGAGAAGGCGAGTGCGAAAAATTTGGCAAAAATTGGATGTAACTGTAACTCTTTTGCTACTGCACTAAAAGTCTTTGCTTCCAACTTTTCTGAGAGCATCGTTTAATGTGCTATTTATTATACACTCCTCGTCACCCTTTTAACTCTTGGTATTTACAGCCTTCCTTTGGTTTATTTAATATTCATTAATTTCTTATAAAAATATTTTTCGAAAAATTTCGGATATGCAGCTTTGTAGCCCATTAAATTTTATTATAATAAAGTTAAAGTTTCAAGTGGCTGTAAATATCGTTGATTTATGAATTTTTTTTATTAATTTATTCACCTTAGGCCATTAGGACCAGCGTACACCTTTGTTGACATTTTTCTTAATTTTTATAAAATTTTAAAATCGCATTTACACGTATAATATGCTACGTTTTAATAAAAAATTAATGAATATTAAATAAACAAAGGAAAAACTGTAAATGCTATGGATTAAAAGGGTGCGCTAATCAAATGACGAGAAATGTAAATCTGGAAGCAAGTTTCATTGCAGCATGTAGAAAAATCTTTACAACTGATTAAAGCGTACTTTTTTAATTTTTTTTATATTTTTTCTAATCAAGTTTGTTTTACATTGAACTAATAAAATATTTTAGTAAATATATTCAGGCCCACTTTGCCTCTCCGTTCGTAGCAGGTATGTAACTTTACGCTGTTTAAAAAGTTAAGTTCTTTTATTAAAAATTCTCAACGAACCCCAACCTTTGTCAATTCACTTATTTATGCCTATTCCATTTGCTTTGCTTTGAACGCACGTTACATTACACTTATAGCTTACCATAATGGCGGTATAAAATGTTAAACACAATATCACCCAATCCCAAATTGCTTTAAATGCACAATAATGCAAAAGAATGTGTGGCGGCGTTTTAGGCGCTTCTTGTCTGTATTGCGGCATAATATCGGCGCTGAGTGACATCATCTGTGAGAAATGAAATGGAGTAGCAAAGAAGAGCAAATAGACAAGAAATGGCAGATTAAATATATATGGAAAGGTAAAACATTTATTTTGCTATGCAGTTTTTAAAGCTCGAATAATCTTTTTTTTCAAATCAGTGCTTTATTTAGCCCATTGCAATTTGTCGCTTGTCATCAGTTATATGTCACTTGTCATTTATTCACTGCCTTTTCTCAATTATCGTTTTCCATTTTTGACAGTTTTTTTACGTCATTTGGCATTTGTCACTTGTCATCTGTCACTTGTCACTTGTCTGCTAATACTGGTCATCTGTGATTTTTCAGTTGTCACTTGTCATCTGTTTGTCATTTGTCACTTGCAAATTTTCAACTGTCATTGGTTAGTTGTCACTTGTCATTGTTTCCCTGCCTTTTGTCGTCTTTCATTTGTGAGCGTTTTTCTTAAGTCATTTGCCACGTCGTATCTGCCACTTTTTTTCTAATACTGTTACCGTCGCCGCATGTCATCTGTCAATTTTCAGTTGTCACTTGTCATTCGTAATGCCGTATTAATCACCTCTATCTGGTGAATTGTCATCTGTCGTTTGCCACTTATAATTTAACAACTGTAATTTGTCATTTGTTAGATAAATGCTAACTGTCAATTTCTTGTCACGCTATGTCACTTGTCACCTGCAATTAGTCATTTGTCACTTATCATCTGCAATTTGTCAACTGTCATTGCTCAGTTGTCACTTGTGGACTATAATTTGTGACATAAACTGTACTTACATGCGCCAGATTGGATTGTTTCGTTGGATCCTTCAGTGTTGGCAGATGTGCGCTGAATTGACGGCTGCGTGTCACCGAACGCGCCAGTTTGGCGAATTTCGATAAACCTAAAACTTGAGAGTAAATATCAAAAAGCTCATATTAACGAAAACAACACAACACAACAACGACAACTGAAATATAAGGAAAGTAGATAGAAAATGGCAAAATTTAACAACAACTAGTGGGATATTCTAGAGAAAATGGAAGAGAGAAAGATATCGAGGTGCTGGAGAAAATTTTACATAGAGAGCTGCTGGTAAGAAAAGAGTTCGAAACTTTTACAAAAAGCGGCCTGGACCAACAGCAATTAACTAGAATATGTATCTTTTTTTATTTGTGGCGTGGAATGTTCTCATTTGATGTGAATGTATACGTGTCAGTTGAGATACCACTCTATATCAAAGTAATGAATTGGTAGATTCTCCATAGCACACCTTTACGAGACTCTTCACATTGACTAAATATTTTTCTTGTGAAGATTAGTTTTGTTACTTAAACGTTTAATCGATTTGGAAAAATTCCGATTGTCCTGAAATAATGATTAATTATATCTGTGCGTAACTTTAAAAATTTTGTTAAAATTTTGCCTTGATAAAAAGCAACTTGATTCAAATAAAAAGTAGAAGCAGTTATAAACAAAAAAACGATGTATAAAAAATACGAAAAAAGCCAATTGACGCCAATTATAACACCATAATGTAAATTCGAGAATTATAAAAATTAAAAACACCAGTTTGAAGAATTTCGAAACTAAATATTGTACAGCGGTTGTCAAATGAATCGCTTTTCTATAAAAAATGTTTAGCTTTAGTTTAATTTATGTATGTATCTAGAAAAGCTAATCCTTTTGAGGTCTTCTCTAAATTAGTGCGCTTTGGCATTCGAGGGAGAGCTGTAAAGTAATCGGCTAGTGTATCTTAGCAATTTAGCAAACTTAGTTTTAGAGAATTTGCCAAACGAGTAAAGAAAGCGCCTAAAAGTATGATTTGCCAACAAAAAATGTCTAAGACGTATGCGCGGAATTCTCAAACAGCGAGTGAAAAAAATGTCTGATAACTTAAGTTGATTGCTTACTCGAATTGTAGTTATAGCCATGCTACTTCATTTTAAAGGGCTTCTTCCACAGAAATCTAGAGCAGAAACTTCACAAGTTATTATAAATGAGCTCATTTTACTTAGTACTCTATTGGGGAGTCCATAAGCCCTGCAAGCTCCAGCAGGAGGTCCAATTTTAGATTTTCTCTGAATTCGTTAGTTTATAGCAGACCGCTTGTCATTTTAAAATATTTTGATATTCTGTTAAGTATAACTTATTTATCAATACATAAACCTCCTCTCTGGTCTTGGTTCCTACTCTTCCTTAACCAATCACATTTTTAAGATTATATAGAATTAATTAGTACCTAAATAATGACGCCAAAACTGCCGATTATTTGAAGGAAAAAATTAAAGAGTGGCTCTGTTCTGTTGCAAGGTAAACGTCTTCATTCCTACTCCGATGCCCTCTCAGCTCATCCTAATGTACATATGATCAATTCATTAAAGGTCAAAGCCTTTCAGCGCCTCCGCAATTCGTCATGTTCGCTATTTTCTAGTTTCGAAAAGTTTAGTTTTGGAAAAATTCTAGAAATTCTAATGTAGTCTAGTCTCTTCGTTCATGCAAGAGCTAAAACTGAGCTGCAATGCCAAAGCTTCCTCAAGTAGCCGGGCAAAATATGCGCCTAAAAGTAAGCAAGCGTTTTAGCTACAAAACTTTATTTAAACTTTAAATTTTTGTATCCTTTGCCGCCTAATGGGACTGTCACTGCAATGTCAGTATGTTTGAAGGCGAATCTCGTCAGTTTAATTTATCAATTTAAAGCCATTAAATGTGTTGAAGTACTTTAAATCCGACTAAAATGTTCGAAAGACTTCGGCAAACAGCTTGAACTAAATTTAATTCAATAGAAATGTCTGCAATGCAATTATCAATTTTTATTTATTCTTACATCCGAATTCGGTGTAATTGTCAAGCTTGGTCAAAAGAACTACGACTAAAACTACGCTACAAAAATTAAATTTTAGGCGCTTCAAAAATACGCAAAAAATTTAGTCAAATACAGAGAAATCTTAGGGGCATAGTTTTAGGCGGATTTTTTTTTACAAATAGTCAAGTTTGATTATCTGTCAAGTGCACAGAATCGCGGGGTTAGTAAATACCTCACTGCATACATTTTCATTGAATCAGGCATGGGATTTTAGAAGTCACTAAGCTAACATTTTTTATCACCAAGCGTCGCTCCATGAATAACGGCTGCGCCCAAAAATATGCAGCTTAAAAGCATCTTCTGCTGTGAAATAAGTGTGCGCAATTGGAAGGAGAATTAGTTTCTTTAGATACATTGCATATTTTTAGGCTTCATTCAAAGATTTTCGGCTATTAAAAATTGAGCTTAGCGAATTCTAGAACTGCAGCTATTAGTAGTTACAAGAGTAAAGTTCAGTGTTAGTAAAAATTAAACCAAACATTTTCTACCTCCTCTTGCTAATTTCGTCTACTTACCACCCTTTGTGTCCTCGCTGTCGATTGGCTGCTTCAGTGCGGTTATGTCCCGAAATGTTAGCAAAAATAGCACAACCAAATCCCTTTCGTTGCGTATGGGCGCAACCTGTAACAGCAGCCATAGTGGGGTTTCTGTGTGAGGGACGAACAAAGAAGAATATTAATGAAAATGATCTGGGAATAGGAAAATGCTGAAACTAGATGGAGTTTTAAGAGTTAAATAAATCAAACGATTCCTTAACGAAATGAAGCTAACGAAATTTATATTTGCAGATAGTGAGAAGATATTGCTTGATTATTAACGAAAGGATTTTGACGCCAGAAATGGTTTAAGCTGGGTTTGAGCGCCCTCAAGTAGGCTACACTTTTTTCCCTCACAACCTCAAACGCTTGTTTACCCAAATACCTGCTGATATTTGCCAGTAGAAGAGCGCAAAATTTAACAAAAAGAAAATAAAATCGTCGTCATCGTCAGCCTTGGCGTTAATAAAAATTTAGTAGCTCCCCAAAGTATGCTACGCCAGCAGCTAACTGCTTACACGCGCGTGCTCTTAATTACCATTTTTATCAACTGCCTAGCAGATGGTCAGTTGGCGCAGTTTCCTATGTGGCGCATTTATCCCTTGCCTGCCGGCTTCTATTCCCGACTACGTACAGGCATGCTTTGTCCTGTGAGTATGCCAGCTTATTTATGTACTTATGTATGTATGTGTATATGTGTGTGAGTAAATATTACATTTCGGCACCGGAAAATTCTGCGTCGCAGTTGTTGGGCATGGTTCCGCGTTGCACGCAAGCATGTAAACATGCCACTCAACGCGCATACTACTGATGCCCCCGACCAGCTCACACTATGGGGAGATCAGCGCCTAAAATCACGCTTTGCTGACCGGAAAAGAGCGAATATTGGGCGAATAAGTAAGCATAGCTAGCCGGCACGCAAGTTGCCACATTCCAGCAGTCCTGTTTATAAAAGTTCTTCTAATATTTTCGTATTTTCAAATTGATTTTTGCGAATGCCAGCTGTTCCACTCCATACGCTCCAAAACCCTTTTCATAGCAGTTTACAATTGATTCCTCTTCGCAGCATTTTCCTGCGTTCAGCCATCAATTCTGCCCATTATATATTTTCGTTATTGTTTGAGGTCACGCGCGGACACGAAGGTCAATCCGCGCTCGCAAACAATAACAAAGTCATCAATTTTATGATTTGTTGACACACATCAATTTTTCTACGTTGCAAAAATATTGCAAACAACAACAATAGCAATTACTACCAACGCCATGGACTAAAAAATGTGAAGCCGCGTGAGGATCGAAGGGGAAAAAGGCAAAAATAGCAACTACCATGTCTAAAAAAAAAATTAATCAATTTCGCTCAAGGGTTATGAAGCGGCGGAACGATTCGAGTGGCAGCAACGACGGCGTCGGCGGCACAGGGGCGTGAGAAACAAGCAAATTTTCTAATCAACAGCGCTTGCAACCGCGGTCATTTATGGCGTTCATCGATTGTTGGGAAGCGATGTTTTCAGTCTGTGGCTGTTATTTGTTGCTGTTGCCTTTGCCGCTGGTGCTGGTGCTGCGTCTGCTCTAGTCGGCAGTGGCATGTCAAACAGCAGTAAAGTGGCACCAGCGCAAGTTTTCAGCGGCTAATAAATTTTTGAAATTTTTTTTTCTTGCCATCGCTAACATTATTACATTTTTTATGCCATGTTTTCGCCCTGACATTGGCGTGCTTCCAAAGCTTTGTATGCTTCGGCCAAGCGTAAAAATTTTCTTCTTAGCGGCTTAGGCTAATTTGTGGCAACGACAACATTGTTTTAGGGAAATTGGCTACCAAATGTCTGTCCATCAATGGAACAATGAGTCAAATGAAAAATATAGCATTGCTACTAATTTGTAGATGTCCTTTTAGACTTAATGAAAATGGTACAGTGCCGGTGAATTTTCATTAATAAAGTATTTTTCTATGAATTGAATGTGTTGACTGTAGAAGTGAAACTATCGGGACTTTTTGGAGATTGTCGGAATTTTTGGCATTGTTTTAGGATTTTTCCGAAACTTTTAGGCCTTTTTCCGAGACTTTTGGGGCTTTTGATAGTATTCTTACGGCATTCCTCACAACATTAGGTCACAATTCGTGCTTTTTTTGGGTTGGCACAGAGTTTTCAAGTACCGTTTGGAAGTTTTTATTATCTTTAGAGATATTTTCATACTTGTGGTGGATCTTTCCGAAGCTTTCGGCAATTTCTTGGGACTTTTTCGAGAGCTATTGCCACTTTTCGTATGCTCTAGGGACTTTTTCAAGCCTTTCTAAAAATAACAAAGACTTCCGGACAGACTTAATAAGAGTTCTTCTAAAAGTTTCTTGAATATATGACACATATTCGAAAGTCACAAAATGTCCCCAAAGGTTCTCAAGAACTCTGAAAGCCTCAAAAATCTGATAACAACGCTAGAAATTTCGAGAAAGTTGCAAGGAAGTCACAAATGTTTCGGAAAAATTCCTAGAAGGTATTCATACATATCACTAAAGTTAAAAATTCTAAAAATTCCAAACTATACCTTTCCGGATTTTTTCATGCCTTCTGGGATTTTTTTCGTGACATTCTTTTTTAAATTTATAGGACATATTATTTTTAGGGGTTTGAGAGTCTTTTGAGATATCTTGTAACTTTTCGTATTTTCTGAAGAAATTTTGCAAACTCTCAAGACTTTTCTTGGAAACTTTACGGGGTTTCTCGCGTCTTACCAGAACTGTTCAGGTTTTTTTTTTGGTTTTTTAAGGATCGTTTGGCACTTTTAGACATTTTGCTGGGTTTTTCAAATCTGCTAGAGCTACTTTCCAGACCTTTCTTGTATCTTTCGAAATTTTTGAGACTCTCTCTGGTCTGGGACCATTTGAGGTTTTCGTGATTTTTTGTGACTTTTCGCGAATTTTTTTAAACCTACTTTTCGTAGGTTTTTGGGATTTTAAGAGACTTTTTAGGATTTGTTAAAACTTTTCTGTACTTATCTTGAATATTTTAGACTTTTCTTGTTGTTTTTTTTTCGAAAAATTTTGCCCATCTTTTTGTGATCTTTCGTTTCTTTTGGCTGTTTCGGGCTTATTTAAGGTTTTGTGACACTTGGTAACAATTTGGGGTTGATTTCGCAACCTTTTGAGATTTTCTGGGAACTTTTTGGTTCAACGGTACATTTATTTTTACCTCAAAAAAATTTGTAAGCAAAAAACGTCGGAGTTCGTTTATAAAAATTATAAAATTAAGGATTGCACTTTTTTTTTTATTTCAAATGCATACATTGTATGGTCTTTGATAAGAAAGATATTTGTAGATACATAAGTCGAAAATTTAAAATTTAAATTTCAGAGAAGTTGATCAGCTTTGTCCATGCAAGTGATTTGATATTTAAAACGTAAGCTTAAAATCATACAAAACGAACTGCAAAATGCTTAAAAGACCCCGATGGCTATGTTTTCATTGAATAGAGTTGCCAATTATTAAATTGTTTCGTGTTTTTTTTTTTACAGCATATTTTTACTTTCAATCAAATTAGCCCACCGATGGCCTTCAAACGGCAGTTCACATAGACAACTGGTACGTTTTGTATGCCATATTTTTTATTTAGTTTTGTTTTTCATTTGTGTAAAACTCTGAAAAATTCGTTTTTCTGCACTTGAAAATTTCAGCTAAAATATTTAAGCAAAAAAAATCGCTTAAAGCACTTGCTATGTAACATAAGTACACTTATCGTATAAATATTTGCGCTCTAAGCCACTAAGTACTGGGCTCTCACACATGCATGCATACGTCGTAAAAGCAGTTAAAAAGCCACAAAAGTTATCTGCTCGACTGCACTCAGCCAAAAGGCAAATATTTACGCATCTGGTTACACTTGTATGTCTGTATATGTATGTCTGTATATGCAACATGCGACCACAAACGCACTAAATTTATGCTAAAGAGCACAATTTCCAGAAAATTATGAGTACAAAGAGAAATAAGTGTCGAAAATGCGAGTAATTAGCATAAATTGAGAGAAATGGGTTAAATTTGTTTGGTAATTTCGAAGATCAAAGTACACAATAAATTGGATTTATGTAAATATGTTTTGGTTTCGAAATTCCAGCAAAAGTTGGCAAGACTGACCAGCTAAACAATTACCAAAAATTTTTAATTGTTCAGGCAATACTCATACGCCCTGTCATCCACTTCTGTTAACATTCAGTCACGTAAACAGACCTACAGTATTATTTATCACTTTTTTCCACATATTTCTATCTACATTTGTGTGCCAATAATGAATGGCATGTGTATTAGAGCCTACGCTAAGCGCCTGTGCATATGTTTTACGCCGCCATAAACATTTCTATTCGACTGCACTCAGCCACAGGGTGGCGTTTTGCATTGGTGAGAATTTGCGAATCGAAATGGCGCAGCACAAATTGCAGCAACAGACCACAGCGAGAATGGCTTGTTATGTGCGAAAATGGAAAAATTTGCCAATTTCGGTTATATCAGACTAAAATATTTTTGTTTCAACCGAAAAGCTGTTGGAGCTAGTCGGCACGTAAATAACTTTTCTGGTCATGACACGAATATGGATAATTAAAAGCACACCTAGATATGCATATGTAAGTGTAGATGCATATCAATGCCAGTGAGCATAGGAAGATTCTATGTGTAATTCTAAGCAAATTTGCCGAAGAAATCATTGGTCTAAAATTAATTTGGACTTTGCAAATTGCGAAAATAGGTTTCGAGAAAAATATTACATTTTCACTGTGGCGCCCTCTGGTGGAAGTTTTAAAAAAAATATAAGCGCAGAAATGGACTCCTCATACCAAAAAACCCTTCACAGAATTTTTTTTATACAAAATTTAAGCACTTCTTGACGACACTACAAAAAATGCTAGTAAACCAATTTTCGCAATTCGGCAAACTCCAAATTGATTTTTTACCCATTGTTTCTGCGGAAAATTTGCTAAAAATTACAGCAGAATCCAACTGTGCTATCGCGCATCGTAGGAAAAAATCTTCCATACAAATTGACTCGCCCTAATGTTTATGTATCAGTTGTCATCGATTTGCAGCTGTACGTGCGCTTTGTTGGCTTGAGTATTCATTTCA